TCAGTCCCCGGCTCCGTCCGTCCCCAGCAGCGGGCACAGTGAATACTGCAAACCCTCGTCATCGCTAAGAATAAACCTTTCAACAACAACAGCCTCTGTCAACCTGAATCATCCTGTGTTCTGGTTTGGGAAAATGACCCAGCCAGTGACTTCACGTTAGATGCTCTATATAAGTCCAGGAAAAAAACAGGAGTTCGCAGAGCGCACAGGCTGGGTTTCATCAAAGCCAGGAAACGACCTCAGGAGGGATTACGCTTGAGTGAGCACCGCAGTTATGTCACAGGTATGGGGAGGTGTGTACGGGGCTGGCTCTCGTTGGAGCGGGGTGCCTGACAAATATGTTATCGTTTTAGACAGTTTGCTTGGAATAGCTTATTAGCAAGTTACTCTTGTTAACCAGTGAATTCGGCTTTCCTGCTCTATGTGACTGCTTTGGTTATGTTGAAGTATTTAAATGCTCTGTCTCCATGTTTTAACAAGTTGTTAGTAGTGATTATTTGATGAAGAAGGAAAGCACGTGCCCTCTGCATGGTTAATTAATTTAGTTTTAAAATGTTCTGATTTACCATTAAAAAATTTATTTAGGTAGGAAGGGAAAAAACATTTCCACTGCTCTGGTTTGGGATGTTTTACAGAAGCAGTGATTTCTGCTTTTCCAACATACTCCCTCAGACAATGATTTGAAATTTTAGCAGCGGTTTTGAAAGGACGTGACTATACCAAAGAGTGCTGCTGTGTAAAGCTTAGTGTATTAACATGCAGGAAAAGAGAGCGTGACTGAAAGTTACAGCTGTTGGGATATGATATTTGAGACTGAAATTGTGTATTGCACACTTTGATGTTCATAGCGTATCTGATGGGTTGTCTTCACTTTTTCCCCCCATAATCAGTGTTTTAAAGGGATCTTAAAATTAGCACAGAAACATTGGGTTTTTCACCCACGCGTGATGTTTGCAGCACAAGCTACGCATGCCTGGCAGAGTTCTCCCCATCATGAGAGTTTGACGTGGTGGGTGGGATGGAGAGTGAGGACACACGGGGAGTAGAAGAGCACAATCCTTTGACCACATAGAGTAGCTTGTTTCAGCTTATTTTCTTTAGTCCAAAGAAAAGGACACTTGTATTGTAAACCAACACTTTTTGACGTGTGACAGGAGTTGAAGCCCAGGCTGCACTGCTGTGCCAGCTGGGAACGGCTCCAGGCACGCCCTGCTGATAAACGCGCTGGTGCTGGGAGCAATTAGCGGTCGTGTGGCTGCGACACTGGCAGCTACTGGTGCTGGCAGGGCCAGGGCTCGCCTCTGTGGCTCACCGTAACCTTTCTGTGCAGCATTTTTACTTTTTAGCTGGGGGCCAGCTAATCCACAGCAGCTGTCCCCCTGGAAGATCCACCTGTAATCAAAGCATGAGAGGTTTTATTTTAAAATAACGGGGTGAAATTCAACAGTTCTGCTCAGCCTGGCTGTGATGGTGCATCTCAAGTGCTTCCTTTCCTTTCCCCAAAACGTCCCTTGTCCCGGTGGAAAGAAGCCTTGCAGTTACTGTCTCTTGCCAACAATGGGTGAAGGACCTTAGCAGGACCAAAAGCCCTTGTGACTTTTGAAGGGGTTGCTACCAATCTTTCCCCTTGCTTGCTTTGGCTATCTGTAGAGTGCTTTCCCCTGAGGTCTTGTGAATGTTTTGTTTCCCACAACACATGGGAATGGGATTAACAGCGAGCTATTCTGAGCGTTCCCGGGAATTTACAGCCAGCAGGAAACATGCCGGAGGCTCCAGTGCAGGCAGCCCCCCAGCCGAGAGCCGGGCGTGCACACGCTGTCTCTGCAGGCGCCCGGGTCTGCAAGCCTTGGGGGATTTGTTTCCCTCCACAACTGTTTTTAGCTTTACAGGCAGCGACTAGAAACACACAAGTGGGCTCCACCGCTGCCAAAACCCAAATATCAGAAGCCCCATGGATGTAGTGATGGTCAGAGAAGTTTCTGATTGCCAGTTCAGTGTGTAAATCTGGTAAAGTTGGAGTGTGGGGGTCTTTTATTCTTTTTAGTCCCATCTCCTGTGCCCCTGAACCCTGCTGCGAGGTCTGCCAGGTGGGACCTTGGCAATAGATCCTTGAAATACTAAACTGAAGAGGGAATTAATGGTGCCGACTGCTGCTGATTGATGTGTCTGACTTTGAAGTGCTGATTTAAAGGTAGGGATAGGCTGATGTGATCCCATGTTATCCTGATTTTCTTCTAGCAAGATTAACTGTAAACAGAGTAGTACTTGGACGTTCCAGTGCACCTCCTGATGACGGATCTGTTTCTGTATTGAATTTCCTTCTCCTTTGATTTCTGAGTCCGGAGTTTCAGCTGTGTTCAGTACATGCTCATAGACAACCCTGTTGAGTGCTCAGATACTTTTGTTCCCTAAATTTAAGATTAATAACTATGGTTCAGTTTTAATTCCAGCTAAATCAAGCCAGATTCCAGAATCTCTCTGACCAATTTCCTAAAAAAGTAGTGAATAGACTGAGGCATATGCACAATTTCATAATGAAGTTTTTTTCCTTCCCAAATATGGAACAGGTTCTTGAATTGCCAATCTGTACTTGCAGAAAGGGCCAGGCAGGGCTAGACAGAGAAAATTTTAAAATAAATTAAAAAAAAAAAAAAAAGCAATCCACTGTCTCTTTCAAAGGCTGTACAATCAGAAGACAATTCCAGAACAGAACTAATGAATAATGGCAACAGACTTAGGGGAGGGCAGTGAAATCATGGTTGTGCAAAGATCTGGAGTAGCTGAGTGTACAGTCTCAGAATTGAAATAGGTGGAATATTCTATTAGCAGCTGTGTATGTTGCAGCCTTTGGGTTATGCCAGCTTTGTTCCCTGTGCTTCTAAAGACGGAATATTTATGCATGGATGTCTGTTTCTTAGCCAGCCCCTGTGAAAAAGAAGCGTCCTCCAGTGAAGGAAGAAGACCTCAAAGGAGCCAGAGGAAACCTTTCCAAAAACCAAGAAATTAAATCCAAAACCTACCAAGTGATGAAGCAGTGTGGTAAGTCTCCTTGACGCAAATGGCTAAGCAGTCTTCCAAAGTAAAACATCAACTTAATTGCTCTTTTCAAGTGAAAGGGTGCGCCTGTGGAACAGCAGCCAGTGCTGCACTCACTGACTTTGCATCCATCCATCATGTTGACAGCACCAAGAGGTGCCAGCAGGGCTCTGCTTGGGGCCATCATTCTCCCTCTCTGGACAAAGCATGAGGGAGAGCCCTGACTTTGCCTCTGAACCAAGGTTCAAACCCGGCCCTGGGCCCACAGTCAATGTCCATGGCTGCCCAGGGTGAAGACTGCAGACTTCGTCATAGATCAGGGGATTTCTGGCCTCTCAGCTGGATGAATTCAATGTGTTTGAGATGGAGCAGAAAATGGTGGGGAAAACGATTAATTTTAACCCCTTTTCAGCATGGTAGCCTGGACCTCAGTAGTTTCTAAGTTTCTGAAGCACCTGCAGGCATCTGGGGCCACTCAGTGGCAGCGACCACCTACAGCTGCTGCCAGCTGCCCCGTGCTGGGGGTGCTGTGCTTTAAGGTTTGCAAAGCTGATGGATGGATGAAATTTTTATTGAATGTGTATATATGAATTTCAGCAGCTCTAGTTTTACTCCCCACATTTGGTGTGCTCCTTCACTGATTGCCTCTCCTGGTTTTCTTTTCCAAGAACAAATGGGCTCCGCAGCACCTTCCATATTCAGCCGGGATCGCACAGGGGGTGAAACAGTGTTTGAGAAGCCCAAAGAAGAGCCGGCCAAGAGCGTCTTTGGCTGACGGCGGAGCTGAATGTGTCTCACTCGGATGATTCTTGTAACATTTTCCCAAATTTCTGCCCCTTACACTAAACTCACTGTAGAGCTAAGTAGCTAATTTCTACTCTAAGTCATTAGGGAGGGAATAGAGTCATGTCAAAGGGTACAACTTCCATGTTAATTTTTATTGTGTGCTTTCTTTCTATGTCTTGAATGGTGTTTGCTATGGTGGTTTAATAAAAAAAGGTTGGACACAGCTTGGCACACTGTGGTGACTAATTTCGGTTTAGGCTTAGGTTAATTCTGTGGATGCTTTGGCATTACCAGCTCCGATCTCATCTGTCAAACGCAAAGAATAAATATCCAGACACCACAGTTTCGGTGTCAGTGCGATTTCTTCACACTGTGCCCTTGCCCAGAGGAGGAGCTGTGGAAGGGGCCTCACAGAAACCCAGAGACTTCACCCAAATCTGTGCTGACCCCAGCAGTGCCCAGCAAGCCCCTCGGGGCAGGGCTGTGCTGTGACAGCACCCCCACCCCCCATCACAGCTCTCTCCTCCTATCTCCCCCTCACAGCTCCCTCACGGCCCCTCAGGGCAGCGGCGCCATGATTTCCCCCATGCAGCTCTGCCGGGAGGCAAGATGCAGGGCTGTCAGTGTGCCCCTGCACCGAGGGAGGGCTTTCAGCCCCTTCCCCAGTGGCTTTTCCCTTGTGTCCTGTTGGGTCAGGTCAGAAATGGGGAGTCAAACCAGCAGCACGGGCGCCATGTCCTGCCTGAGGAGCTGGATGGCCTGTGGGGTGTCTGTGCCACAGCACAACCCCTGAGTGGAAAGGTTTGGTTTGGGGTTTTGGGGTTTTTTTTGCAACTCTGTTTGCATCTTGATTTGCTGCATTACACGTCAAACCTCTTTTCCCCCAAGCTTATAAATTGGAGTATTTCCCCTCGGCTGGGTCTTTGCTCCCCACCATGGATGATCCTCGGCGTTGCTGGCAGCGGCCACAGGCCCCCTGCACCCCGGGCCCCGGCCGCCCCGCCGGGGGGGGCAGGGAGGGGGC